GTTTCTGGTGGTGACGGCAGGCATGGAGGGCTCTTTCTCTTGTGCGCCTCCTCGAGTGGTCGCAAGCATTGCCTGCATCCCTCCACGGGTCGCGTCAGGTCAGTGCCGACGAGTCGCTCGCTCGCTCGCCCCTCAAGTACTGCATGTCTTCGTGTGCTTGAGCCGCGTCTACTCCGACTGGGGAGCTCTGAATGACGACGGCGGGTTGAGCAAGGAACGCAACATCTCTGTCACATGGGGAGAGGACGTCGGAGCTCCGGCGCGGTACCTGACGAGTCTCGAAGCGACAGCATCAGCCTATGACGATGCATGGATCTTCTTCACGGATGACGAGCAAGAGTTTCACCCGACACTGATCGGCCGCATGCTCTCCGACGTCTCCCCTTCTTCCCTGGTCCTTCAGAATCGGCACCGACACTTGCAGCGCAACTCGAGCGGGGGGATGGTTGCTGGTCGTTTCGGGTTGCTCATGCGCAGACATGTCCTCGCTCAGCTCCGCGCGTTTCCTATCGCGTTTCCAGCGAGGCGAGCAGGAGATCAGTGGATGTCAATCTACTTGCACAAGAGGAGAGTCCCTGTCGACCCCAGCAATGTGGAGGAGCTGGAAGCAATATTTGACAAGCCCTCGCTCAACCAGCTCGAGGATTCTCCTGAGCCTGCAGACGTCGCCGAGCTACAGGCTTTCTATGCCGTTCGCTTCTGGCAGTCGCGGGTCTTGGACCAAGCCTCGGGGTCCTGGAGTCTTCCTGGGCATGCAGCAGGCTGGGAGTGCGAGAGAGGACCGTCGGCATGGCAGACAAGCTCTTGTGCTGCCTCGCAGGTCTGTCACGTGCACGGACGCTACGTGATGTACGCGGGTGAGGACGCACAGTTCGTGGGGGCTGGACTAGGTCGCTGCGACGACTCGGACGAGAGGCACGCGTGGGTAGTGGAGAGTGAGACCTCGCTGACGCTTCCTCGTCGATCTCAGTGGGTTCCGGGGCCCTCCATCTTCCTGCGCAGATACTCAGCCGGGAACTTCGGGCACTTTCTTTTGGATTCCATTGTTCCTGCCTTCATCTCCTTGTACACAATGATACCAAATGTCTCGCTTCCAGAAAACATCGTCGTTGACGACCTTTGCGATGACGGAGCGAGTCTGTTCGAGTACTCAGCTGCTGATTGTGACAGGATGAGCCAACGCATCTTGCCGGAGCTCGCCAAGTCAGTGATCTATGTCAAGGCGATGCGACATCCCGTGTGCTTCGAGACTCTGATCTCCTCCAACTGCAAGTATGG